CCCTCAGATTCCAGATTTTCAAATAGTTTTATCTCAGCCTAATATTGTCCTATCCTAACAAACCATACATCAATGGAAAGCTTATTTATTCAGCTTTCAGATGATGCATGAATCTCAATTTCCAAAAATTGACCCTTATGACTGGTTTGTGCTCCAGGGTCACATATGTTATATACTATCTGATATTGTATGTGTTTCTTTTCTGTCTTAGGTTATCTCATCCACGAGTCGGCCGTGTGGAGCGAGCGTCTCCAGCGCTGGTTCTTCCTCCCTCGCCGCGCTAGCTCTGAACGCTACGAGGAAACAGCAGACGAGCACCGCGGCACGAACCTCGTCCTGAGCTGCTCGCCGGACTTCAGTCAGATCTCAGCGTCGCGGGTCGGGCCGCTCAAACCCACCCTCGGCTTCTCCTCCTTCAAGTTCATCCCAGACACAGACGACCAGATCGTACTGGCGCTCAAATCAGAGGAAGACGCGGGACAAATCGCCACATACATCATGGCCTTCACGCTGGACGGACGAATCCTGCTGCCTGACACCAAGATCGGAGACGTCAAATATGAAGGACTGGAGTTCATATAGACAAGACGGCTCAGTGATCGACTCAAAGACTTCAGTGACGTAAAACACAACAAAAGTGCAGCCGCCCGTTACCCATAATGCATTGAAACGCTGGCCAGTATATTTTCAGACACATGTTTATGACGGATGTCCTCAATGTGGGACCAGACAGAAAAACAGCAACGGGAAACAGATGCAATAATAGAGGAAACCTCTAACAAACAGAACGGTTTCTGCGGGTCTTAAAACGTCCTAATTCACGTTTTCACAAACTAAGGCCTTAAAATAAAGTCATGGCATTAAATGCTGCATGCACTGCAACAAATGAACATGTTCCAGTACAGATAGCTAAAAGTAATGTTGAAAGTTCTATTTAGAGACATTTATATTACGGGAACATATGTGACCCTGGAGCACAAAACCATTCATAAGGGTCAATTTCTCGAAATTGAGATGTATACATCATCTGAAGCTGAATAAATAATCTTTCCATTGATGTATGGTTTGTTAGGATAGCACAATATTTGGCTGAGATACATCTATTTGAAAATCTGGAATCTGAGGGTGCAAAAAAATCTAAATATTGAGAAAATCATCTTTAAAGTTGTCCAAATGAAGTTCTTAGCAACGCATATTACTAATCAAAAATTAAGTTTTGATATATTTACAGCAGGAAATCTACAAAATATCTTCATGGAACATGATCTTTACTTAATATCCTAATGATTTTTGGCATAAAAGAAAAATCTATAATTTTGACCCATACAATGTATTGTTGGCTATTGCTACAAATATACCCCAGCGACTTAACACTGCTTTTGTGCTCCAGGGTCACATATTGTGTTGCTTACATTTTTTTGGTCTTAAGAAGTTTTACATTTACCTTCATTAAACGTGCAGAAACCCTGTGTAATAAATAAATGCGTACTTTGAGAAATGCACTAATGAGAAGAATTCCATTAATTATCTGCCTTTATTAAAAACTACAACACCTCAAAACTTATTTTATTTGTTATTTTTTTGCTGATTTTAGTGTTTTTTTTTTTTTTAAGTGTATAAACTACACTGGATATGTTTATATAATATATCTTTGATTTATGGGATTGATTAAAAAAATAATGAGACATGCATATTAAAATGAATGCAAATAAAGATTTATTATTCATTTGAGACATTTAGATTTTTTTTTATAGGTGCATTCCT